CCCATTTTTGACCAACCTTAAGACTCAGACGTCATCAATTGAGCACTCGGTGATAGTACATGTTGTGCTCGTTTCGAGCTTCGGAGTTTTGGCTGAGAGCCTTGCCTCCGGGTCTCCGAACTCTTTGTGCTTTGGCTCGGTTTGTGGACCGAACCTTGTTTTCTCTTCCCAGAGGGAGGGAGAGGTCTTGTAGACCATCTTTTTGAGGTCGTAGACCACTTTTCGCGGTCGTAAACCACTTTTTCCCGTTTGGAGATCAATTTCTGATTTTCGGAGCCTTCGGCTGTGCGCCTTGTCTCGGGACCGCTTAACGTTCTCCGTTTGATGTGGTTTTTGAACCACACCTTATTTCCTCTATCTAGAAGGACACTGTAGTCTGGAAGATCACTTTTGTGGTCGTATACCACTTTTGGTGCTCAACAGCTGGGTTTCGAGGCTCCCGGCTGCGCACTTTGCCTCCCGAACTCTTGTTTTGCATCCGTGTTGGTTTGTTTTGGTACAAACCTTGTTTTCCTTGCTTGGAAGGTTGTACAAGGATGGGAGACCAGTTTTTCCCCTTGGAGACCACTTTTCTTCCCGCCAGCCGATTTTCTTGTCGGGAAACTGGTTTTCTTGATCTTTGGGCCATCTTTTCTAGTCTCCCATACCACCATTGGCTTGCTTTTCAGTGTGGAGACCACCAATTCCCCCTGTCGACCACTTTTTTTCCTGGGAGACCACTTGAAGTGGTCGGCCGACCCCTGCAAGTAGTAGGCCGACCACTTTAAGTGGTCGGCAGCTCTCCCATTGTTTTGGCAGACTGTGTAGATGCCAGCTGTGCTAGCTGGAGGGCACAGATTGTATCCTCCATACACGTGTATGGAGGGATGGCATCCAAGTTTTAGCTTCTCCAAGAAGCTTGAACCTTTGTTTTTCTATAAGAGAGGCTCTTTCTCTCCATGGGAGGGGTTCTAAAAAATTTCCTAAGGCATAAGCATATATCTCTCTCTATATCTCTATATTTAGCGCCTAAAGAGTGTGTTGTTCTTCACTTTTGCACCACAACCCTTAACCATACACCCCCATCATTGAATTGAGGTTCTTGGAGGACATTTTTGGAGGTTAAAAAAGATGATTCTTGGCTGAGAAATCTGCTAGTTTTGCAGTGCTTCAAGGGTAACCGCTTTTCTCCCTTTTAAGCTTTATTTTGGTTGCTCTCTTGGTCTCATTTGCATGCTTATTTAGGCCTTGCTTTCAAATGGAAAATTTTTTGTATTTAAGTGTTTTTGATGTTTGTTTAAGGCCTCTTGGGTGTTGAGGGTCTTCTACCCTCTTGCATGCCTTGTTTGGCCTTGTTTTGTGCCATGATTTAAAGCCTTTGAGCTAGTCCTTGCTTGGCCTTCTAGCCATTGAAATCCAGTGGATTTTTAGTAGTAGGCATGTGATTTTGAGGCCTCAAATCAGAGGGGGGTGATCCCCTCTCTTCTTGTTTTGTTTGCTTGCATTTTTGGCCCATCAAAGGAGCATGCATCTTCATACTTTCAAGGCTTGGTTCAGGCACTTTTTCATGACTTTTAGGGCCTTCCTTAGCTCTGTCTAGGGCTGGTTTGGCCACCTTGTGTTTTCTTCTTGTATGTGTAGTGTATTCCTATTTGTGGCTCATCAAAGTAGCATGTCTTTCTAGCATGTATTGGCCCCATTTCAGTAGGTTTTTGGCCATCATTTGACATGTCATGACTTTACTTTTGGCTGGTTTGGTAGTGTCTCGCATGCTCCATATGCTTGTAGTGTAAATCTGTTTACTAGCTTTGTATACATGATGTTTTGGCTCATTATCCTAGCATATTTTGGCTATGCTCTAGCATGATTTTATTCTTATTTTGGGCTGTCTTAGCTTTGTTTTAAGGCTTCTTGGTCGGATGAGGCTTGTCATGCATGCTTGTAGTGTAATAGCCTTGACTAGCTTTGAGTTTTGAGGTCTCTTGTATGCTTAACTTGAGGTATTTGCATGTTTTGGCATTATTGAGAATGATATTTCAGAGCATGTAGGGCTATTACACTTCCATATTTTCTACTCTTTAAGTGCTCTTGAGGGTTGTACGTATGTGCCCTGTTTGTGAGCTATTGCATGAGCCTCATTTTCGTGCCTTTCAAGCCATCATCCCAACTCATTTTTGCTACTGTTTTGGCTTGCATAGGGTCTGTTAGGGGTTAGTTTGGCCATTTGAGCATTATCTTGCATGCCTCTAGTATAATACACTTCACTAGCTTTGACGCTTGAGCCTTTCAACATGCATTTCGTGGGTTGTTGGCATGATTCTAAGTCATTTTACATGCCATTTCAGTGCTGGAACATATGCCATTGTACCCCATGTTTCATCCATTCAATGCTTTTGGAGAGTTGTGTTTTGAGCCTTAAGCTTGGGCCGATATGTATGCATGTTTGTATAGCATCTTTAGTTTCTATCTTAGCATGTATGGCCACTGATTTGGACATGGCTGAGGCCTATCCATTTTGGTTTAAGTCCATTGTACATTGTGTATGCCATGTAGTTCATAGCATTGTGTATGCTAGTATGTTAGTTGCATGTTTTCATGCTTGTCCCTTGCATCGTGTTCATATGCTTGTTTCATTGCATTGAATGTTTGCATGCTTGAGCTGCATTGTGTATGCCATGCCATGCCATGTTGTTTGTTGCATTGTGTTTGGAATAGGAGTTAGTCCAAACATAGGAAGCGAGGGACGTTTCATACTCAAAGTAATGAAACGTGCCTCAATTCTCGGTCACCGACACTCTTGACTATACATGATGGAGTTTTAGGCTTTATGTGTTCGTGTGTGCATTCATTTCATATTGAGTCGTGCAATTTGGATCCTCGGCCATCATGCATCGAGATGCGTGATTGGTGGCCCGAGGGTCGAGAACCACACCCCCTTGAGCTTATGTAATGAGAGGGAGGGTGGTTGTGAATACATGTGTTGCAAATACTTTGCCATGCCCCTTTCTTGATCTTTGTTGTAGCAAACTGAAGTCTGGCAGCAGAAACTGGTCGGCCGACCAGATAAAGTGGCTGGCCGACCACTTTTTCTGGTTTTCAGCACAAAAAGTGGTCGGCAGGTGGCCTCCAATGCCAACAACTGGTCGGCAGCGCTCTTACAGATTCCCATGATGGAGTTTCAGCCTTCTGGAGATTTTTTGCAGTGTTTTGAGACCAGTTGCAAATAGAGGCAAATCGGGGCATCGCAATGGATTTTCACACGAGGTGACCGGGCACGCATCCTTTGCCATCCAAGGCAGAGTTGAGGCAGCCTATTTCATATAGTTTACATGCTTATTCAATTGCTAACTTAGTTAATTTGTTAATTAGTTAGAGTTGTGTAATAATTAGTTGTAGTTTGTTATTCATTCTATTGTGTAATAACTAATTTAACAAGATTAGCTCAAATTAGCTAGTTGGTTCTGTATTACTCATTCGGACCCTCCGTCGAGAGGGCACAACTATTGTAAATAAGTGTGCGTGTGTGTGATACATGTTTCCCAACCCCCATTTCTTTCTCCTTTTTATTTACCAACTTACGATGGTTAGTTTTAGGACATATTTCAATTAGCATCCTTATGCTCGCATGTTTGCATCCATTCATCTGTCTTGCATGCACTGGGCTCGGCGTATCGTGCTAACTACATTGTATTTCAATTCCTGCTTGAATACATGTATCAAATTGCATTTCACATGACATTTTAGAATAGCCGAGCCTATCTTAGTTGCATTTTGTATGTGTTGCATTAGGCATTCTTGACATAGATAGGATCATGCATTGATTTCTAACATAGCTTTTGTTTTGGCTCGGAGTACTCGGTAAGTGTTTATGCTTTAGCATCCTTGCATGTGTGTGACTGACTGCCATGATAGCATGCTTGCCATGAGGCTAACTGCTTATGTGATATAACTGCCTGAATGCCTGTGGGTGAAGGTTGGATTACTTGAATTGAAGGGATTTTTTCACCGAGAGTGAAACAGGAGTTCACGATATCACTGAGTTTTGCATAAAATTCATCGAACGTCTCATCGTCGCGCATAAAAAGGGTTTCAAAGGCGGACGTGAGACGTTGAAGTTTTGCCCTTTTAACAGAGGTGGTACCTTCGTGAATCGTTTCAAGAATATCCCGCGCCTCTTTTGCTATTTCACACGTGCAAATTCGACGGAATTCTTCAGGTGTGACAGAGTAGAAGAGGGAGTTGAGAGCTTTGCTGTTCCAACTCGAATTCTGGTAATCGGTTGTGTCCCATTTATCAAGGGGTTTAGGAATATCAATCCCATCAATGGTGATTGTAGGTTCACTCCACCCAAAGATTACGGAGTGCCAAACTTTCTCATCGATGGATTTTAAAAATGCTCTCATACGAGCTTTCCAATAAGAATAGTTTGTTCTGTCAAGTAATGGGGGTCTATGAGTCGAGTTACCTTCACGAATAGAATCCATGATACTAATCACACAAAATCACACTCCTATAGATTTGAAAAAACAAAGAGTGACCCGCTCTAATACCAATTGAAAATCCTACGTGATTTGTGATTAGATCAAGATTAACTTATTCCAAAACCCAATAAATTCAAAAACTCTCAACCTAAAATCATCAAACACTTACGAGAGTGATTTTAGTTTGTTTGTTTTTGAGAATAAACAATAAATCGACACAAACGATTTTTTACGTGGAAAAAACCACAATTGAAGAACCTTCAATTGTAATCAAAAACCACGGGCGAACCGCCACTATCAATCCACTACTGAAGAACAAAAAGATTACAAAGATACCATACAAATTACCCAACCCAGTCAATTTGTCTCTGAATCTTCTGTAACTCTTTTCACCACACCTTCGTCACGGAATTGATCCTGAAGTTGATTCCACACCACAACTCCACTTTGTCGAATTAACGACTACGTAGAATCAAACGCCTTTTGAATTCTACGCTTTAATCTTCGGAATCCACCGAAGAGAACTTTCTTGTACCTTAAGAAGCAACCTCCTTGATGTATGAATCTCAATGCATAAGTTCAGAACTCTCTCAAGAACATCAAGGAAAACTATCAAAAATCTCCAAAGAAAACTTTAAACACAACCCTAGTTTGTTTAGATCAGATCTAGGAAAACGTCCTTCACAAAAACACCCTTAACAGCTTTAAATAGAAATCTGGATCCGCGATCTCCGCTCGAGCTCACCACAGCCCGCTCGAGCGGACTGATCAAAAACGGCGTGTGAATAAGCTGAGATGCGCTCGAGCGTATGATATTCCGCTCGAGCGTACAATCACACCCACCAGTATTTGTGCTTACCCTGTCAAAATACTGAGACCTCCTAATCTACGCTCGAGCTCAAAAGTCTCCGCTCGAGCGGACAGTACAAAAACACAAAAAAAATACTTTTGAATCAACACAAGGTTTTGTCTCCGGATTTGACAACATAGGGACCTAACATTTTATATATAACATCATTTTCTAATTTTACAGCGCAAGCAAAAGCATTTTACTCTTCTATTTTCCAATACTTACCAGCATGGTGCAAACCACCATGTCTTGAAACCTTAAATAATTTTGATACGACTGTTGTCCAAGCCATTTTGGAGGGGCCACCAGAATCCAACCTTTCTGCGATATCAAAACCCAAAATGGTGAAATATTTAAGTGTCAAATATAAAATGGTGGAATATATAATGTGTCAAATATATTTTTTTCTTTCAATAATAACGGTCATCAAGGAATAAATTTACTTACTTTGCACATCCTCAGACTTTCTTAATCGGAAAAAAGCAATGGCAAGGGTACTAAGGACTAATAACAAACTCATTGGAACAAAAATAATAATAGCAGTCCGAAATGTGCCACTCCTATTGTCTGCAGCAGACATAAAATGTTGAAATCAAATATCAATGCCTGAAGTTACGATAATTTGTGATTTGAAAATACAGTTACGTATTTTTGTAATAATGTTACATACTTTATTAGTAATATTATCACAAAAATGAGTAATTGCATTTTTTAATCACAAATTATTGTAACTTTAGTAAAAAAATTATGTAACATTGCCAAAAAAAAATAGCTTTTTTTATTAGTAAAAATCAATTGTTAGTTGTTAGATTAGAAATCAATTGTTAGTTGTTAGATTAGAACTTATGACAGTCACACCTCCCCCCGGGGTAAAGCACGAGTGCTTACCTCTCCTAATCCAACTCGCTCTTAAGGAGAGTTGAATCCATAACCTTCTAAACCCTTAGAATAGTCATGGTAATTGATTAGGCTAAAAGTACATTTAATAAATATCTTATGAACAAACTCTACTTGCATGCAATAACCCACAAACTATATCTATATTAATATATTGTGAGTGCTTTTTACTGGTTGGTTGCTCACCAACTCGGTTTGGTGCTAGCACATGATCAAGTTTGTATTTTGGTGTCAATATAGTTGGGATGATCTTATTTGCTGTGATACTTTACGCACTCACCCTCTTTATTGATATTTGTCTTTGTACTATGTACCTCGAATTTCATTAATAAAGTATCTTTTATGTTGCCGGTCAAAAAAAATGTAGTTATTTTACTAGCAATATATTTTAGGGTAGGTTCCACTCGAGTTCGACTTCTCAATTAGTGGACAAATTATAATATTTCATTGGTCGGACACAAGAATTCCTGACCTACTAGATATAATCTGCAATTAGTGGGTATTGTTAGGCTTTCTGGGCCTTATCATATGGGCTCTACTTGATGGTCCAAATAGTTCAACTTGTATGACCTATCCAATATATCAATTACATAAACAACTTGATTGGTTCGACAACTATAACTATATCATCGTATTAAATTTGGCTTTAAAAATATATATATATATATACGGTCTATTTTTAAAATCATACTTGATATATATTTCTTTTGAAGACAAATTTGATATGATTATGTTATTACTGTTGTCCGAGCAACTTAATTTTTTACATAAATTGACCTGTTCAAAATGCCCCACAAGATGAATAGTTCATATTATTGAGTGGAGGCATATGGTGAGGTCCATGAAACCCAACAAAACCCTTCAATTGGGATGTCCTCCCAACTTGAGAGTCTTCTGAGTTCTGACCATAAATTTTATGCTACAAAATTAAATTCATCATGTTGTTATGCACCAAAATTGATTTGGGAAGCCCTTTTCTCCTAATCTAACTCCCCCTCAGGAAGAGATGAACTCATGGAGTCCAGATCCTCTCCGGCTCTCCCTCCGGTCAACGGCCAGGATTTGGCCACGTCACCCCTAACAAAAGCTAGGGCTCAGATTAGCTAACAAAAAAATAAAATAAAAATTGAGCCGAATTCAGCACAGCAAAACAGAGGCAAAACAGAGGCTCTATTTCCACGTGAAAGAACAAACAAAAAAAGAGAGAGGGAGAGGGAGGGTTGTCTGGCGACTACCGGTAATTTCAGCAGCAACAAATAGCAGTAATTTCAGCACAAAAAATGACAAAAAAACAGCAGCAAAATAGCACCAAAACAGCTGCATTTTCAGCAGCAACAAACAGCATTAATTTCAGCACAAAAAATGACCAAAAAACAGCAGCAAAACAGGGCTCTGGTTCGTGGTCGCCGGAGCTCTGGGTCGCGACTGAAACCTTCGGAGCAGGGATGATGTGCTGAGGGAGAAGGAGACAGGCAGAGGAAGAGAGAGAAACAGAGAGTTTTCAAGTTGTCACTTGGATAACTGAAATTTCTCCAACTTTGAAGTCAAAATCCCAAATTCAGTAAATCCGCATTCTCAAGCAAGAAGGAAGAACACAAAAAGTTGAAAATGACTCACAAAAAGCGTCCAAATACAAAAAATATCACAAAATTGGATACAACTCTCTTACTAGATCAAGGAGACAGACAGAGGAAGAGAGGGAGAGACCCTCTGTTTTGCTGTGCTGAATTCGGCTCATTTTTTTTTTTTTTTTTTTATTTTTGGTTAGCTAATCTGAGCCGTAGCTTTTGTTAGGGGTGACATGGCCAAATCTTGGCCGTTGACTGGAGGGAGGGCTGAGAGGATATGGACTCGATTTGATTTGTTGGGCTTCATTTGCCAACCTAGTTATTGTTGTAATCAATTTTGTAGTGATGTTGTACTTGATGATTTCTCAATAAAATTATCTTTTTTGCAGATAAAAAAATAAAAAGGGATGTGGTGGACGTTAGGATGTACCTGCTTTGGTTGTAGTGTTTATTGATGGGGTTGACGGGGGAGGAGCCAAAGTAACTACAGGTGGAGGTGGTGGAGGTGGTGGCCGTGGTGGCGGTGAAGCATCAGCTGTATATTCATAGAATTGGTTCAATTCATAATGAAATACACAACTTGGTGCCAAAACATTTGCTTGTATCTTCCTATAACAAATACTTCGATATATATCCACTGCTCCTCTTAGACAATTTGAACAATCAGCTGATGATAGGTCAGGGGTACACTGCATCAGAGCATATATATCCTGATCTGTTGTAAAGTTTTCTTTACCAGTTACAAACTTGAGAAGAGAAGATCCAGAAGAAGTTGAAGCACTCATGGCAGCCCTGAATATAAGGCTATCAACCAAAGTACCCATGGCCTGATCGAACTCATCAACATTGTTGGTGATGTTATTTGTAATCATCACACAGATAGCTGGAGCAGTATCCATAACCCTGAAAAAGGACTTGTATGAGTACCGCACGGTACAGAGAGCTGGGTTTCCCCAACTAATCGCTTCTTTCTGGTTCGGGCACTCGTTGATAATAACCTGACTTGTATAATTGATACAGTCGAAACACCTATAGTTGGAAAGGTCACCTCTGCAAATTCCGACAGCAAAAACTGTGTCGGAGCCTTGCCCGATGGAGGTAGCATAATACCCACCATTGGCGGAGACATTTGAGGCAAGGGAAGATAGAGCGATGTCGCGGTTTTTGGCATATGTGCTGTTAGTGGTGAAGTTGCCTGTGTTATAACACATCGCGGCTGTCTTTAGGCTAAGAAGGCTTATGAGTATACAAGAAAGAAAGACAACCAAACTTGAATTACCCATTATTGCTAGAGTCCTTCGAGCAAGAAATGTTAGTTTTTAGAGCAAAAAACAGTGTTGAAATGTGCTTTTGACGGGGGCAGTTGTGGAGACATAACGTGGGGAGTCAGGAAATTAAAGGGTATTTATTAATTTTTGAATCAGTATTAAGTATAAAAAATTAAATAAATTGTTACAAAAATATTTTACATAAAATTTTATAATTAATTTTGAGTAAAATTGAAAAGAAAGTATTGCGTATAACTAGTGTATCATGAATAATGTAAAAAAGTCATATATTTAAGTCGTAAAATAAATTATATAATGGTACGATAAATCAAATTTTTACAAAATTTGAATAAAAATTTCATATAATAATAATATTACGTCATTATTGACATGTGATATCACCAATCAATAGTAAAACAACATATAAATGGTGAATTCCACATGCAAATATAACTAACACTCTAGTAATTTATATATGAATAATGTTTGGGACCCCCTTTTGGGGGTCACCCCCTCACCCCCTTTGCCACGTGGCAGGGGTGATTGGAGGAGCAGGAAAAAAAAGAAAAAGAAAAAGAAAAAGAAAAGGTAACCAATGAGAGAGAGGGGGGTCAAAGGGGTGGGGGAAAAGGGGGATGAATCATTACTCTTTATATATATATAGTGAGATTAATTATATTTGTATATCAATAATGATAAATATTATTTTTATATTAAAATTTTTTCACAAGATTTTCATACATAAAAATATAATTTGTTATAATCACTTCATTTTCAATAAAATAATCATTATTATTTTCATAAATTTAAAAATATCCTTCATATTTTATTCTAAATATTATTTTTATTTAAAATTTTATTTATATACATGTGGTCGGCCACTGGAGACACATAAATGTAAAAGTATTTGGCATGAAAAGTATTGCAGGAATCAATCTCAAAGTCAGCTCTGGCAAAGGAAAAGAAACTTCAAAGCATACGCTTTATTTAATCACCATTGAAGGCTGCCCCTTCTCTTGTTTAGACGCAAGGATATAATATAAGATTGAGGAATGATTCATCCCCTTTTCTACCCCTCCTTTGACCCCTCTCTCTCATTGGTTATTTTTTTTTTTCTTTTTTTTCTTTTTTCTACTTCACCAATCACTCCCTGCCACGTGGCAAAGGGGGGGTGAGGGGTGACCCCCAAAAGGGAGTCCCAAACATTATTCTATAAGATTATTAGCTTGACAAATATATTTTTTAAAATAAATTATTTATTTTTTAATGACAAATACTATAAATTTCTTAAATTCATGTACAGAAAAGTAAAGAAGTGATGTGATAAAAAAAGAATAAAATAAGTGATGTGATAAAAAAAAAATGTATAGTACACTTTTTACAAAAAAATGTACAGAAAAGTAAAGAAGTGATGTGATAAAAAAAGAATAAAATAAGTGATGTGATAAAAAAAAAATGTATAGTACACTTTTTACAAAAAAATGTACAGAAAAGTAAAGAAGTGATGTGATAAAAAAAGAATAAAATAAGTGATGTGATAAAAAAAAAATGTATAGTACACTTTTTACAAAAAAATGTACAGAAAAGTAAAGAAGTGATGTGATAAAAAAAGAATAAAATAAGTGATGTGATAAAAAAAAAATGTATAGTACACTTTTTACAAAAAAATGTACAGAAAAGTAAAGAAGTGATGTGATAAAAAAAGAATAAAAAGATAAATTATATTGAAATTGCCAAACTTAACCTTAGTCTTCCCAAACGTTTTTTTGTTACAGGGAAATCCTTCCACCCTCCCGCAGGTCCAAGACAGCGCCCCATAAGGAGATCACCAGAGTATCCTGTTGTCCGTTTCGAGTAAGAGACTATAACCTGGAAGCTTGTCCCGACCTCCTAAGGCAAGCTTCGATTAAATCAGGACTCGCACAGCGGGGGAACATCAAACCCACACCAAGTAGCTTCGATTAAGTCAGGACTCGCACAGCGGGGAGCATCAAACCCACACCAAGTAGCTGATTAGGCATCCTTGAGGTCAGCTTCGATTACTATAACCTGGAAGCTTGTTCCGACCTCCTAAGGCAAGCGTTCCGAGTAAGAGACTATAACCTGGAAGCTTGGCCCGACCTCTTAAGGTAAGTTTCGATTAAGTCAGGACTCGCACAGCGAGGGAGTATCAAACCCACACCAAGTAGCTGATTAGGCATTTTTGAAGTCCAACCTCCTAAGGAACAGTACTTCGCCCAGGAGATTGGCCCAAGGAGAAAATTGAACTTATGACCTTAGGATTTAAATTCCAAGACCTCATCACAATGCCACAATCTCTTGGATTTAAATAAATTATTATAAAAATATTTCATAGAAAGTTTTACAATTAACTTCGAGTACTAATCTGGTCTGCCACTGTAGACACATAAATGCAAAAGTACTTGGCATGAAAAGTATTGCAGGAATCAATGTCAAAGTCAGCTCTGGCAAAGGGAGAGAAACTTCAAAAACAAGTTTGGCATGATTGAAAAAAAGATAAAAAGTCAAAAAGTCACTATCTTATTTAAGTCACATCATCTTATTTAAGTCACATCACCTCTCTAACACATCACTTCAAACCCAATCCAAACCCAACCCATATTTCATAAAAAGTCAAAAAGTGCACTTATTTAATCTTCCCAAACTAGGCCTTAATCACCATTGGCTTCGTTTGGGAAGTTGTTATTTTTGTAGGTTATTTTAATTTTTAATTATTTTAATAGGTTAAAATTTTTGTGTTTGAAAAGATGATTAAATTTTTTTATGATTAGATGTGATGTTTATGAGATAAAAAGTAAAATAATTATGAATTTGATGTGATATTTTATCTTATTAACTATTTTAGCCTATTTTATTTTTTTTTATAAATTTTAACCTAAATTAGGCTATTTTTTTCTGGAAAAGAAACTGCAAAGCATACGCTTTATTTAATCAACCATTGAAGGCTGCCCCTTCTCTTGTTTAGACGCAAGGATATAATATAAGATTATTAGCTTGACAAATATATTTTTTAAAATAAATTATTTATTTGTTAATGACAAATACCATAGATTCCTTAAATTCTTTGATAGTGAGATGTGAATATATGTTTTTATTTTTTTCATCGTTTAACATTTACCTAAAAAATATTTGGTTTGAATTTTTTGAATTAAACTTTTTGAAAATTGAGTTTTTTATTTTTAGTGAATATTTTTAAAATTTTAAACATATTTTTTTTCAACTTTTTTAGATGCACCTTACTTAGATGTATCTAAAAAGTTAAAAAAATTGTGAAAAAATATTTTAAAAATTAATAAATACATAAGAATACAAAAAAATATACTGAATTCTTATTTTATTTTATTTTTTGTATTTTTGGTATTTAGTGAATTTTTAAAAGATTTTTTTCACAAAAATTATATTTTTTATGTGTAGTTATGTTAAGTGTCTCTATAAAATTTAAAAAGTTGCTTAAAATATTAAAAAAATTAGTAAAAACAAAAAAAAAATACGAAAAACAAGAAAGTAGAATTTTTTGAAAAGTTTTTTTGGAAAACCAAAAACAAGCAAAGTGAAATTTTTTTTAACTTTTTTGTCTTTAATGATTTTTTTTTTCAAATTTGTCAAACATTTTTTATTTTTTAAAAATTGCTTAAAATATTTAAAAAAAATATTGAAAAACAAAAAAAAAAACAAAAAACTCAATTTTAAAAAAGAATTAAATTCAGAAAATTAGAATCAAACCAGGTGAATATTTGTTTTTGCTTTTTTTGAAGTGTTTAAATTTACTTTACTTTTTGGGATTTTAGTTTATGATCGCTAGTAATATTTTTTTAAAAGGTAACGATAACACAATTTTTTTATATTAATTTAGGTCTCTCAAAATATACTGTGACAAAATTCTATAATTTTTTTAATTCATTTGAAAATTTCAAAATTTTATAACTTTTGATAAAGATCTCTTTTTTATATATATAAAATTTGTAGTTTTAAAATCATTTTTTTAAGATCTATAAAACAAATCTATAATAAATATTAAAAAAAAAAGTTGACGAACTTGAAAACTCGAAAGCCTCACTTTCTACTTTTGTTTTGGAAAGACAGTACCAATTCTAGGGGAAAAAACAAGGAAATATAAATATAGAAAACATTAGCATGGAACCTATAGTTTTAAACTAGTTAGGCATAGTCTAATTGGCCATCATGACTTTCATAAGGCTTAGTCTCGAAAGAAGTCACGAGTTCAATTCTCTTTAGGGGAATTGAATTAAGAGAGCTTAAGCATTTAGGTACTTTGTCAAGAGTAAAGAGACTTTCTCCCATATGTGTTAATCTAATTACTAACAACTAACATTTGGTGCCCCTCCCCTCCCCCAACAAAAAAATAAATAAAAATTTAAAAGGCTTTGAATAATATCAAGAAGAAATGCACAAGTTGACTTTTTTTCTTTTGGCTATTGTAATTTGGGACTAAAAAGTTTATTTAGGTTGTCTTCTTTGGCTTTTATGAGAGAAAAAGTAAGATGATTATGATTTGAATGGGATATTTTATATTTATTTTTAACTTATTTTGTCTTTTAGTTTAAACTTGTAAAGATGGCTTCGGACAGAAATTGAAAAATATCTTCCTTATTAGAAAACAATGAAGTCTCACAAATATTTATACTCAATGAAGTCTCACAGAGTTTGTTACAATCAACCTAAATAACTCACTCTACTCTCATAACTGTATCTATAATAACTGTCTTTAATATCTTGCACATGCGTGAGCTAAGGAAGATATTTTTGTTTATGATGGCTTGAGCTGGGAGTGTTGTGGCTTAAGCTGAGATAGTTGAGAGTATTCTTCAATACTCTTATCATTCCCCCTTAAACCAATGGGGCTAAGAAGCACTATTAGTTTGTCCTTAAAATAGTGAAACCGAGAAAAAGACAATGACTTAGTAAAAATGTCAACAACTTGATCAGTCGTAGGAACATAAGAAAGAGAAATCTATTTAGAAGCAACCCGTTCGCGAATAAAATGGCAATCGATTTCGATATACTTAGAACATGCATGAAAGACTGGATTTGAAGCCAAAGCCATAGCATATACATTATCACACCAAAGAACAGATAGAGAAGAGTAAGAGATGGACAACTCTTTGAGCACCTGTTGAAGCCAACATAACTCAGCAGCAGTATGAGCCATGGATCTATATTCAGCCTCAATAGAGGACCTAGAGACTGTAGCTTGTTTTTTAGCAGACCAGGAAATAAGATTGGGACCAAGAAACACACAAAAGCCCAATGTAGATCTGCGATCTACAGAGTCTCCACCCCAATTAGAGTCAGTATAGGCATAAAGAAGAAAAGGACCAGGCGTGAAAGAGAGACCATGAGGTAAAGTGCCCTTAACATACCGAAGAATCCTTTTGACCACAGTAAAATGTCCAACGGAGGGAGAGTGCATATGCTGACAAGCTTGATTAACAACTAAAGTTATATCAGGCCTAGTTATAGTTAAATACTGTAAACCACCAACTAGCCTGTGTTAAAGAGAAGATTGAGAGAATTGCAAATCATCAGCAGTACTAGAGGGGGGTTTGAGAGCCATAGAAGTTGAGCTAGGCTTGCAATTTACCATGCATGTATTGAGCAACAATTCACCAGCATACTTTTGTTGGGAAAGGAAAAATCCATGAGAATGGGATTGAACTGAAATGCATAGGAAATACGAGACAACACCCAATTCCTTCATGGAAAAGACCTCATGCATGTGAACAAGAAAAGCATTGATGAGAGTAGAATCACTCCTAGTGAGCCAGATATCATCAACATATACAAGAATGATGGTGATAGAGGTAGAGGTAGTCTTGACAAACAAAGAGGAATCTGAATGACTAAGGAGAAACCCCTGCCCAAGCAAGAACATAGAGAATCTAGAATATCATGCCCTAAGAGCTTGCTTGAGGCCATAAACAGCCTTGTGGAGTTTACAAACATGAGAAGGGTACTGAGGATCTATAAAACCTTGGGGTTGATCCATATCCACCTCATCTTCCAAAGTACCATATAAGAAAGCATTGGAGATATCCAACTTCTTGATAAACCAATGGTGATGAAAAGCTAGGCACAAAAGCACACGAATGGTAGGTTGTTTGGCCATTGGATTGAAGGTCTCATGGTAGTCAATACCTTCTAGTTGATGATAGCCATTGGCAACAAGTCTAGCTTTATAGCGAGCAATAGAGCCATTTGAGTTCTTTTTTATTCTGAAAAACCCATTTACAGCCAACCAGATGAATGAGTTGGAGATTGAACTGCAGAATAAGCTGTGGACTGTGATAAGCTAGAGGATGATGAAGAGTTGGAGAATGAATAATTTGGATCCATTCTAAACCAACAGTCAAGGGCAATGTGACTGTGACCTCCACAGATTTGACAAAAGGTAGAAGAGTAATTTCCTTGAGTGAATTGTCCACGTCCTTGTCTGTCTCTAGCACCTCTCATAGAGAACCTATTGTCGTTGTATCTGCCTCCTCTGCCATGAAAAGAGCTACAGCCCCTATAATTTGAGCCTCTAGATCCTGAAGACTTAGACTCAATATTTCTAGTTGCAGAGTAGGCAACAGTGGAGTCAGTGTTGAGAGCATATTTTGTCATATTCTCTATGTGAATGGACTCTGAACATAGAAGAGAACTCAACTCTTCCATAGTAATTAGCTCAACTCTACCACGAATTGTTGTTTCTAAAGCATCTTACTCATTTGGTTAACCATTCAAGGTTAAAAGAACTAGATCTTCATCATCAATGATGGAAGAGGCAAGACTGAGTTGATTAGTTATGGTTTTGATCTGTAAGAGATACTCTTCCATTGATAAACCTCTTTTGGACACAGACTGCAACTTGTTCTTTAATTGATGGATATGAGATCGAGATAAAGATGTATATCTCTTTTCCAAGGCAGTTTAGACTTGTGAACAATGTTGAAGATGAAGAACATATAAAAACACAGGTGGAGAAAGAGTAGCTGTGAGAAAGCTAAGCAGATGAGCATCAATGATCTTCCAATTCTCGAACTCAAGATTTGGAATAGATTTTCCTGAAGAATCAAGCACTTCTAGATCTGGAGATGAGATTGATCCAATAACAAATCCAAAAAAAATAGTAGCATGAAGAACATTTTGTATTTGATTTTTCTGGATAAGAAAGTTAGTAGAATCTAACTTGACTGTGACGAGAGAATTAAAATTTGACAGAAGAAGATTCATATTTGATGGTAAGATGAATGAAGATGTACATGAAGATGAATATGCCATTGAAGGACCTTTACTCGTTAGAGAAGAAAGGCTCTGATACCATAACAGAAATTGAAGAATATCTTTCTTATTAGAATACAATGAAGTTTTACAGATATTTATACTTAATGAAGTACCACTGAGTTTGTTACAATCAACTGTAGACGTGCCCTTGGAATCCAGGGCTTTGCTTACTACAGTTTGGACTCAAATGCCATGGTTCTTAATCTGATCTTGCAAAGTGCAATGTGAAACCGATAAATCACCAAAGAGTCTAAATCCGGCAAATCGTTTTGGAAAACTGATTTTTATAAAGAAGTGCCAAACATGGACTACTTTGCCAGATACAGAGTCACCACCTAAATATTTTATTTTTGCAGGAATTTAGGAAACCCTGACTCTTGCCTAAGGCCACGTGTCCGTCATCACCAAAGTTGCCTCGGCTCAGGAACTTGGGTACGATTGGGAAAGGTCATTTAATGAGCACCCCCTCTCGCCCGATCAAAGATCGGCCTGTACTAAGCATGATATCTTGTTTTTGAAAACAAATGTGTTCTTATTCCGGTTAATTAGCTGGAATTACTATGTGATGCGCACAGCAAAACAAGTATAGACTAGATCGTCTAATTTGGAACAAAGCATTGCGTATCCATGTGTTTGGAAAAATGGTTTGAAGTTTGCTACTCGCAAGTAGGCTAAAATGCAGATTTCAATGAATTGCCCCAATTCAAGTAATCCAACCTTCACCCACAGGCATTTAGGCAGTTAATCACGTAAGCAAATAGTCTTATAGCAAGCATGCTTTCATGGCAATATTAATACACATGCAGTATGCTAAAGCGTAAACACTCACAGTGTACTCCGAGCCAAAACAAGGAACTAGTTAGAAATCGTGCATGATCCTAGTTCATGTTAGAATGCCTAATGCAACACATGCGAAAATGCATTTAAGATAGGCTTGGCTATCCTAAAAATGTCATGTGAGATGCAACTTCGTACATGTATTCAAATTGGAATTGATATACAATGCAGTTAGCATGATGTGCCGAGCCTGGTGCATGCAATACAGATGAATGATGCACGCATGCAAGCATAAGGTATGCTAAATGAAACGTGCCCTAAAACTAACCATCGTAAGCAGTTTAAGTAAAAAGGAGAAAGAAATGAGGGTTGGAAGACATGCATCACACACACACACACGCTTATTACAACAATTGGCTCTCTCAAGGGAGAGACCGAATAAAGAGCTAACTAGCTAATCTAAGCTAATTAAACTAATTATTACAACACAAATTAATTAACTAACCCTAGTTAACTAATTATTACAAAACGAATTGAAATAGCTAAACACATTAACTGTTAAAAGTACAAACCAAAGCAAAACCTAGCTATCTAAGCATGACAGCTAAGGAAAGCAATAAATCAGAAGCCTCAGAGGTAGAGGAATGCACGCATGTCCAATCGCCTCATTCGAAAATCCAATGCGATGCCCCGATTTGCCTCTGTTTTCATCCATTCTCAGAAACGTGCACCAAGCTCCAGGAAGCTGAAAATCCACCTTGGGAATCCAATGGGAGGGTGGCTAACCACTTTTGGTCTCGCCAAACCCCTGCCGACCACATTTTGTTGTTGAAAACCAAGAAAAGTGGTCGGCCAGCTACTTTTTCTGGCTAGCCGACCAGTTGTTGCTGCTGAACTGCAAGTTGCAACAGAGAGCAAGAAAGGGCATGGCAATGTATTTGCAAGATATGTGTGCACAACCACCCTCCCTATCATGTCATGAACTCAAGGGAGTGCGGTTCTCAACCCTCAGGCCACCAATCGCGCATTTTCATGCATGATGGCCGAGAGGCGAAGTTGCACAATTCAATATGAAAATGAATGCACAAGTAAACATATAAAGCCTAAAACTCTATCATGAATGACCAAGAGCGTCGACGACCGGGAATTAAGGCACGTTTCATCACTGTAAGTATGAAACGTCCCTCGTTTACCGTGTTTGAACTAACACCTACTCCAAACACAATGCAAACAAGCATGGCATACACAATGCGACTCAAGCATGCAAGTATGCAATATGACTTAAGTATGCAAACACGCAATGCAATATGAACAACCTAACAAGGCTAATGGCATACACAATGCTAAAGCATGTAACAACTAGCATACACAATGCTAAATGCTAAGAACTAGATGGCATACTCAATGCAAGGTATTCATAAGGTTCTAAGCATAATGTAATGCATGTATGCACAATGCAATGAGGGCAACTTATGTAATATACCAAGCATGGCATGCTCAATGCAATATACATGGTATACTCAATGGACTTAAACCAAAAGGGTAAACCTCAATCATGCCCAAATCAGTGGCCATTGGTGATGAAATGAAGGCACATAAAACAAGGCATGCATGCACAATATATTGGCCATCAAAGAGGCCAAAGAGCACAACTCTCGAGTGCTCAAAGTGTGACAAAAGTGGAAGTGTAACAACACTAGGTGCACTGAAATGAAGCAAGAAATGATGCCAAATCATTCAAACAACATAAGCAAAGCATGCTAGGGTCCTAAGGCATGAAAGCTGGCAAAGAGCAACACAAATGAGGCATGCAATACATGGCACTAATGCATGAACTAAGCATGGACCGAGTTCAAGTAAGTCTAATCATGGACCAAAACATGCTGAGATAAGGGCCCAAGGGCCTAGACATGCAAGCATGCCAGCTAAGGCCATAACAAGGCCATAATGGACAATACTCAAACGCATTCAAAACATGAATAAAGTGGGAATATAAGCATGCTATAAGTTCTGAAATGTCATGCTAGATGATGCTAAATCATGTACACAACACAAACGAAGCATGCAATGGTGCTCAAAGCTTGAGGCAAGCAAGAGCATTTGTACTACAAGTATACAAAACCCATATCCCACACCCATGACAACAAGCTGTGGCATGTGTGTGGTGTTGAGTTCCAAGTAATACTTGGTCCATAACTCCCCTCCACAAAACTTGAATTCCCCTTAGGCCCATCCTAAGTGTGCAAACTTAGTTTATATACGTATTGTCACGACCCAAACCCGGCCCTATGGGTTTAGCACCGTAACCGGCCAGTAATCCGGGATTACCGAAGGCCTGCAGAACAGTAGTACAGTAAAACAGAGTACAGGGCCTGGCGGAAGCCAATACAGTAAATAAACAGTGCCCAATGAGCTGTGACAGTCTGTATGCAAAAAGACTTCTCATACATTTATACATAAACAGTATAGAACAGTATGCACAACATTTACAATCACACAGTACAGGGACTTAATCCCTGATAACAGTACAGTAAACAGTTGACAGTCTATACAGAACGGTAAGACAGTACAGAAGGGGAAAATCTAAAACACCCCTAAGCCTTAACGGTTAGGCTCGGAACCTCGCAGTGAGGCACATAGGCTGGCTTGACAAAACTGGAGGAATCCTGACGCTCCTAGCCGCGGTCTGGTGCCTGTACATCTCATATATATATGAGCCGTAAGCTAAAGCCCAGTGAATAACATAATGCGTAAAGAGGTTAAGAATGAATGTCCTTACAGTATGAAAACAGTTCATTTCAATCAGTCATTCAGTTGTTCAGTACAGTAAACAGTCATATGTAGTACATCCGTTAGCATAACAGGAAACAGTAGGTCTAGAAGACCGAACAGTAATGATGGCCATCAGTCAGTAAACAGTAGTGGTTCCAACAAGGGAACCGACAGAGATCTCTGTAACAGTAACAGTAACAGTAACAGTAACAGTAGGTGCTAAGAATGCAACAATACAGTTCAGAATATAGGACATACATTCATTCAGTTAACAGTAATCAGTTCAGAAAGCAG